CAACTTTAATAAAAATAATTAAAATAATTACAACTTTACAAAAAGAGAGAAGTTGCCGATCTTGCCCCTATACCCGGGGCAACTTCGTCAATTTCTCTCTTCTTGTAAAGTTGTAATTATTTTAATTATTTTTATTTCCAAACTGATTTTAACCAGTTCTATTGTAAGGTAACATTCCAATAGACAATATGCAAAGCTTTTTTTTCAGTTTACAGCAGTATTTATTACACAAAATTTAAGTAAAGCTTAACATGCCGATCTTGCCCCGGTCTTCCCTAATTAATAAAAAGAATTGAAATTTTAAAATTTGCATAACAACGACAAGTTACAGGCAATAAATTAGTCATTATTGTAAATTATTTATTATTAGCCTACAGACAATAAATTAATTTAAAATAAATCTTTATAATGAATTTTACAAACTTTTTTATACCTGATTTTTTTCTGATGATTACTATTTTCCACAGTTTAATGAATTAAGACTTATAAATATAGAGAATTCTCATTCAAATGCTAAAAGTAGAATACAGTATATTCCAAATGTGTATTTTGTAAAAAGAATTTAATTTATATTTTATACAACCTTAAAAATCAAAACATGTGATTTTAAAGGCAGGATTACACATTACAATAACAACAACAGACTAAAACTGAATACTAACAACACATGTAAATGTAAAACACATTTAAAGCAATTAACATATGCCCTAATACTCACATATATATTTGGAGTTATAATTTAGATACAGAATTAGAATAACTCCAAAGAAAAACACGAGAACATTAAAAAAACAAACACCTTCCCGAGTCATTCATAAAAAAACTAGACGATATGACACATATACTGTATTCTAAATTTTCACTACAAACATTGTGAGTGTTTCTATAGAAAACAAGAAATGTCCATAAGTAATAGATATGTATATATCAATGGTGAGGTTTTATTTATATTCCTTTTAAAAATCAATTTTTCAAAAAAATATTTTCTCAAAAATTGATGAAACTTTATGGGTTAATTCTACAGAAATAACCACTGTTTTTGCCTGGACCGCATTTAATCAGAGACAAAAGCTTATCTTCGTATTCTTTATTTACTTATTTACTATGCATTTCGGGTGCAATATCTTCGGGTGCTGTCTCTGATTAAATGCGGTCCAGGCAAAAAAACGGTGGTTAATTCTGTAGAATTAACCCATAAAGTTTCATCAATTTTTGAGGAAATATTTTTTTGAAAAATTGATTTTTAAAAGGAAGAAATGTCCAATTACACAAAGCTGTAAAACACTGCAGACAAAAATACACCATTAAACCTACACGACACTGGCCTGGATCTAATACAGTACACAGATACCGCTAGACAGACTTGGACCATGAAGAAGCTCCATGGTAGGCACCCTAACGATCTCAACCAGGATCACGTTAACATAACTATATGGATGATTAGAGAGACGGCATGGTTCATGATTGTCATACAAGACCAAGTCATAAATACAAAATAACTACAGGAAGCACACCATACTCACAGATGACATATTCGCATCAGGTTGTAAGCTGCTTATATCTTCATAACCAAATAGCAAATACAATACATCATAAGCTTGCACACAAACAAACTAATCTATACACATACCTCAGACAGTTATAGAGAACGACATAAAATATACTACGAGCAAGCTATAATCACAGTAAAAACTATTCATAACAGACTAGACATCACATTCATAACAAACAAAGCAAAATTACATACATCAAAGCCATAGATTGTACCAAATACTCACAATAAACAAATACATTCACTGAAAAAATATACTCAGAATTTACCCACGAAATGAAACATCTGTAGAGGATGGATAAGACACGTATTGGGTCAACAGTCTTTTCCTTCAAAGAAGTCATATCATATACTCAAAACAAAAGTCTAAAAACGAATTTTGTGTAGTATATGTGTCATTAAGGCTTCATAACAAAACACTACAAAAAGACAAATATAGCCACATACAATAAATTCAATCCTTACATGTTTTTTTAATAAAAATGTACGTGGAAAATTTTCCAATTTTATTTAATTCGATTTAAAAAAAATTTTTTACGAAGAAAATTTAAAATTTTACAAATATTTATTTACTTTACTTAAGCTGAAGTTGTATTTTAAACACATATAAAAAGCCTATTTACTTTTCAACTTGTTTACATTAATTTTATATGAACCAGGCAAAAAAAAACAGCCTGGACCAGACCAACAAACAATGAGATTATTTAAAATATATAAGTAATTGTTTTTGTTACGTTTAATAATTAATACAAATTTAATAGAAAATTGCTTCGTTTATTTTCTTATTATCGAATTTCTTTGACGTTATTAAAATTTCAATAAACCTTTCATTGTGTTCAAAATAATTTTATTAAAACTTATAATTTTCAAATAAATTATTTATAAAATATTTTAACATATAAATCAAATTTATATATACATAAAAGAAAGAGAAAGTAAATCAATAATATAAAACTAATATTAAAAACTTCGACAGACTTTATATAAACAAAAATTATTTCAATCTGAAATAATATTTTAAAAATTGAAATATAGAATAAATAAATAAATACATTTATATATATTTATTTTATATTAAAAGCCACCAAAGTAAAATTCATATCATTTTTGAATTTCCATTAATTGTTTTTATTGTTATATTTATATGTAGAATATGGTATTATATTTAT